TATTTTAAATAAATATTCTGCCTAGTCGATTAGCATATATAGTAATGGTTAAGCTAAAATGATTTCATTTGGTTTCTATTATATATAACAGACTTAAACGTCACAAATTAACAGTACAGTACATATTTCTTAGTTTACTTTTGGTTTACTTAAGCCTAGTTCAGACTAGGTGGATAAACCCGGCTCATCTCACAGACTGGCAGATTTATTGTTTTAAAACACGTTTCCTGGTTACGGTTCATTATTACGCAAATTCTCGCCTGGCTAAACCCGCTAAGTCTGAACGCTATTATTTCTGTGGGACGATATCCAAGGGACGGGGCTTAGTACAAAAGGTCAGTTATTATACTTTAATAATGACTTGTCCTTTAGATGCAATATCATGCTTTTTACAAAGTGTATTTTGTTTTTCCAATTTACTAGCATGCAGTCTGGCTTCTCATACAATGACATCGAATTCATTGGCATAAAGGAAAGAAGAGATGATTCCTCAAGTACAACATCTGGGGTAACTACATCTGTTTTTTTTTGTTTTTTGTTTTTTGTTTTTAAGTTTTAGCTTAATTCAGCAATGCATGAATCGCCACATACAAAGTGTGATGACCCATGCGATGAGCTGTTGTCATTATGATAGGGCTGAAGGTTCCACAGTGCATGAATCCCCACATACAAAGTGTGATGACCCATGCGATGTGCTGTTGTCATTATGATGGGGCTCAGGGTTCCACAGTGCATGACTCGCCACATAACAAAGTGTGATGACCCATGCGATGTGCTGTTGTCAATTTGATTGGGCTCAGGGTTCCACAGTGCATGAATCGCCACATACAAAGTGTGATGACCCATGCGATGTGCTGTTGTAATTATGATGGGCCTCAGGGTTTCACAGTGCATGACACGCCACATAGCAAAGTGAGATGACCCATGCGATGTGCTGTTGTCAATTTGATAGGGCTCAGGGTTCCCAATTAAAGGAGCATTGTCACCGAATGGAAACTACCAAGCGAATTACAGCAATTGTGGCTTCACAAGCTTACTGATAGCACTCCAACAAGAGGCTAGACACAGGGCTTCCGGAGTAAAACCCCTGAGGGGTGAGGGGACACCTTCAGGATCGAAAAAGTGTCCCCTGAATAGTGTTGGCCGTAGTGTTTGTTTTCCTCACTTCACTGCCAAAAAAAGTGTCCCCTTAATAGTAGTGTCCCCTTAATAGGGGTGTCCCAAAGAAGGAGTTATACAGTATCAATAGCATATTCACATTTTTAGTATGTTGATTTAGTATTAAATACTGTACAAGTACATAACATAAAATATTATCTCCATTAAACAAATCCGATTGATTGTTTTTATTTATTTCTTGTAGATTGGTCCAGATATATTGGAGCAGTCAAAACCTTCAAACCGAAAAAAGCCTTACAAAAGTAAAGCGGTAGATTTGTAAATAAACTACTGTTACCTAAGGGAACAAACTATCTGATGTCATTTTATGTTGATGATGTCATCATATGTTGATGTCATCATATTGCGATGATGTCATCGTATGTTGATGATATTATCATATGTCGATGATGTCATCATATGTTGAGAAGGTATCCTGTGCGGGCATCATTATGCTGATGATGTTACCACACAATCGTATGTCGATGATATCTTCTATTCAACATGCAAAGCTATGCAATGCAATATCAATGGAGCTTCCTGGAGTGTCAATCAAACTAAACAACTGACCAATCAGAACGTCTTATACAATAGGCAGGCAATAGACTCATTTCTAACATGCAAGTTTACGTTTACGATTCAGCAAGCTCAGCCATGATTCTCTATGAATGGCTGTCGTTTTATAGGGCTTTAGCAACAATATTCAGAGGTGGGTCCTAGCGGAAATATATTGAAGAGTAAAGGAGAAACTATCACTCTATCATTTTTCCATGTCTAATATTTGGTTAACAGGAAGTTTTCATGACTGACACTTGCAACACTTTCAAACTGTTTCAATGTAGTTAATGCAATAGGTGATAACCAGTTTTGTGCCAAATTTCTGAGTCATCTCTAAAACATTTTAAGTTATGGGGTCGCCTGAATGCGAATGCAATCCAATTTTGTCTTCCAGTAGTTGTCTTTGTTTATTATGTAGGTGTATGCTTAAATTTATGTTAATATTGTACAGTTCTATAATAGTATTGAATGTACATTGTTTCATTGGGCCATGATAGTAAGCGCCAAATTCCATGTGAAAATAGCCATTAATTCTGTACTTAGGAAAGTTTTAGTAGCGAAATGTAAATAACCTCAACCATTTTACTAAAGTTTTATGGTTTTAATTGATAAACCTAATTTCACTCGTCATTTTTACATTCTTATCCTTGATATTGTTACTCGTATTCAATTAAATTGTTATTTGTATTTTTAACTGGTCTTTCCTCACATTTCCTGAGTTTTGTGCATTTCTCAAATGTTTAAGACCCTAAGGTTTCCAAATCAAAGTCAAGTCTTGTATGACAGTCAAGGTAGAGGCTGATCTTTTAAAGTTTTCCGTCTGAGGTTGTAACTACCCGCATACAGATTGATATTGATTTGACTGTGTTAAACCCTGTCCTCACAATCAAACCATATCATGACCATATATAGGCACATCATGACTATATATGGTCATGATGACATCACATTATGATCTTATATAGGCACATCATGACTATATATGGGCATTCAACAGTAATTTTCAAAGAAAATTTGATAATCTGTACACAGATTCTGTTAATACTGCTGTAGTTAACACCACTCAATATGCAACAATGTCAATGGTTATCATAACAAATACTGTTAATAACCACTCTTACCAGCCACAAGTATTTAATGCACAACAATATCCCTGAAGGTTAATTCCTGTGATCAACTGACTCAATAACAAACATTCCAACGATTCAATAACCAGCAAACTTTTATAAAGTAACAGTGAACTATAAATATACATAGAGTATCAATACACAATATCAATCTTGCATAACACTAATAAACTTTCATTATAATTGGTGTAATTATTGTTTTACTTATTGGACGGAAAAAAGTATCTGGAATGTTTCAGTAAAAGACTATGGGGTAATGAATGATTTCAACTGCAACACATTTACCAATTAAAATAAAATACCCTGTATTAAAAACACAATCTGTAAATCTCTGCTTTATAATTTACATATAAACAGTATATATTCAATGGTAATCTGTTATATAAATATTATACTACAGTAATATATAATTTTAAACTCAAAATTAAATAAAACATAACTAAAACAATGACATTTAAATCAATTGTTATATCAATCCTCTGGTATGATTTAAAAATTAATGACCTTACAGTTAGTGTTTATAAAGTGAATATAACTTGAGGTTTTATATCATTAATAGAATGTTTTTCTTATTTAAAGAAAATGGACGTCGGTGAGGCACTGTAGAGTGACAACCGCATAGGAATAACTTCATTTTGAGAATGACATCTCAAAATCGCAAGGATGCAATTTGTGAAAAAAAATCATTACAACTTGTGAAAAAAAAATCATTACAACTTGCATTGTTGATGGGCTGTAAAAGTGGTACACTATGTTTTTTAGACACGAGTGGTCCTAAATAATATTAATAATAATAATAATAATGCTACATTTACATAGCACATATTGCAATAAACTGTCTCTATGTGCTTACATAAGGGAGCTTTTGATTTGTGCGACGCTAGAACGGAATCACTCATGCGTGACCGTCCTACCTGGCATCTTACGCTCTCTGCATACGTAGATTTGGCCAAATTGCGTTCCAGAATCTGCTCGACGAGGTGACCTTAACGTTTTGCATGCGCAGATGACTTTTAGTGACGTCATTACGTTCTATGTCCTACCGTCTTTGTGCAATCGAAAGCTCATTAATAATCCACCTGGTCACTAGACTATACACCTATGAAAGACACTCTTAGCTCCCTGGGAAGCACAGTATCATGTAGCGGAGAGAATCAGCGCTGCTACAACCAATGATTTGCCCATTGGGATGTAATAGTGTTCAGTTGCTATACTTGTACATGAATAATAATGTCATATTCGCTATTGTTTACCATAGAATATTAGAATACTTAAATAAAAAAAGGCACTGTAACAGTAGACTTGAAACTGTATTACTTAACAACTTGAATTATTAACTATTTGTTCATCTTATTTTAATAACAAATCATAAAATAAAAATTAATATAACAGCAAAGCAGTTATATTATTATAATCACTATTGATAGGCTGGTGCAATCTGAGGCAACTATATAGTATACAGTAGTTGTCTCAGAATTAATAGTTACTTGTTGCATAATGATTATAAGGTTTCAAGTTACAGAAATCTAGTTATTAAGAAGAACAATATGACTCTTAAAGAGTAAAAGGTCATTCATTTGAGACAATAGACATATGCCCACATTCTTAAAACAAACTTTAGTCCAACTTTGAACTAGAACTTCATTTAGTCCTAGTTGCAACTTAAACTTAAATTTGTGTTTATTAACAATGTATTCAAAGTTCTACCTACAAATAATTCAAGTCCTATTTTTAGTTCATCTGAAGATGGCTGGCAAGCAACAACTATCAAATTTAACCAATGAAAAGAGCTCATTTTAATAGCAGACGAAATTTTGAAAATCCGGTAAGGCGGATGAATATTAAGGTGCCGTCTGTTGTTCAAAAACATATTTCCTCATAATTCATATTAGACCATCAATCGCTTAATTAATTTTCTATAATAATAACTTTATTAGTCGTTAACATATAATGACAGCGAATTTGAAGTTTCACTGAAAAATTGCTTTCCAAGGAGAACTATTATAGTTGAGCCCGATCGAGGGCAGCGCCATATTTGTTGACAGCAACACGAGGGAATTTTGTTTAAATCAGGTACTATCGCATGTGGCTAGCAAAACATGTTATTTTCACCTTTTGGAAGCTGAATTTGGTGTCTCTTTTGTTGAACACACCGAAGACACATCAGACCTACGTATGCAATCGTTTTTATGCATTTTACTCTATTGTGAGTTACAAAAAGCAGGCTGACTAAAATAATAAGGTATCATTTTAGTCGAGATTCGCGAGATTTAGTCGTAGTGCTAGTCAAAGCGTTCGTTTTAAGAATATGAAATGACGCAATTTTGAAGATTTAGTTCGAACTACGACTGAAGTTCGTTTTGAATTTCTAACTTAGTAACTCAGTCGGCCAACTGTTGAATAAAATATTGCCTAGAAAAAAGCTCTCTCTGGACAAAGCTTAAAGGACACTAACTTGGATGCCAGCTATAGGCCAAGCACTGAAGAAGCCATGTCATTACCATAGTGACTTGTAGCTCTAGTTCCTCATCATTCCTGTTTCTCAAGTACAATTTCTCCTTGAGAAGAACAACACAACTCATCAAAGAAAAACCCAAGTGCATTGTGGGCCTGAAATGAAATTTACAAAATAAATCACTGAAAAATCAATTGCTGCTGTTGCTTAGTGACGTTATATTTCTCTTGCTTTACATACTTAACGTTGCTGATGAGTAACTTGCTTTTTTTTGTGGACATAGCATTTCCTTTGTAGTATATTCTGAACTTAATTTTTATTTTACTTTCAATCAGTATCTTTTATTAACATGACACATTAAGAATTTAACCAAAACACAATTGCATACTTCTACAATTACCTAGGTAACCAATAGACACATTCCGCTAGGTTGGTCATGTGACGTATAGTGGGTATCAATTGCAAACATGCAAACCGAGTTTGTCTATTAAACCAAGTTAAATTAGTAATTTATCATATTTCTTCAAATGTATATTTCAATACCTCTGGAAGTGTTGCTGGCCTCAGGATTTGCTCTGCATATTTTGTTATAATTTCAGATGAAGCCACCGAGCTGTAATCAACAAGGAAATAACAGTTGTAACATGTTTTTAAAAAACCAAGTCATATTTTTCATATTTATATTTATCAAGTCATAGGAATTGAACCCAGGATTATTGCATTTACAAAGCAAGCACCCTGACCACTAAGCTACACAACTCCGCTCACATAAGGCATAATACCAATGAATGCATCAATTTTATTCCACCAAGTATTACATGGCAGAATTCAAATGCATATTCAATGCTACCTTTTCAGAATGGTTTCCCAGCATGTGACTGCATTATCCCGTTGAAGAGCAAGAACTAAACTTGGCCCCTTGGTAAGAACAGGAACCTGAAAATAAAAAATCCATGTTGTGAAAGTATGTAGGCCTAACTGTAAAGTAAATGCAGAAAAAAGTTCTGTTAACAACCAAAACTGTTGCAACCAACAGCTTTCTGAGAATCAAATATGGGCAATTTCACATTGGAGGGACACATTCCCTAAACATTTAATTTACATGAATAAAAACCCTAAAATGAAATTTAAATAGTTCCAAGTTACTCTTATATTTATACTGGGCAATTAACGCAATTTAGCGTAAAGCTGATATATTGAATTTTGATGTTGTTTGAATAAAACTAAAATATATAAACACTTTCCCAAATGATTATGCTTTGTGATTGGTTGTTACAAGAATTGGCTAAATTTGCTAAAACCACTGCAAAAGAAAATGTAGGGTATAATGTCGCCCTCTATAATATGAGACTAAGTTTAATATCCTGCAGTGACATCACATACCAATTTATCACGGGAGCATTTGAAGAGATCAACAACCTTTCCAGCTTGACCTTCTGTTAGCCACATCATACGCCCTCCCACTAATTGGAAACCTGCCCCAACCAACTTCTCTAAAATGTCCACATAGATATTCTGATTCTTCTGATTGGTCCACAAAATCAGGCGTGAAGTCAGTACCATACATGTAGTTTCGCAAAGACCACTGTGAGCTACAGAACACAAAAGTGTAAAAAATGTTTTAATAGTAACTACCTAGTATTTCTTTTATTCATATACATGAAAATGATAAACACATACAAACAATTCTAAATGTAAATTAAAGTAAAATAATGTATCAAGTAATTGTGAAATATTGGTTGCAGTATTTGTCAATAGCACTAATTATAAACATATCTTTATGAACACTTTGGCTAAGAGCTACGAGGGTCCAGAAAAGCTTATTTCAAATGGATATGTAAATGGTATTGCAGTGAACAACTTATTCTTACCTGCTTGAAACACAAACTCATTTTCATTCTGATCATTCTTTACAACATTATCATTCATAATAAATTTCCGTCCTCCATTTCCATCACAAATCAGGTCATCTTGAGATGGACACCGAATCTACAAAATAACATTTATTGGTCAAATATCATAACATAAAGAAAAAAATAATGATTACGATTAAGAATCCCACTACTCATCTGATTTAAAAATGGTTAACAAATAGCAAAGAACTTTTTCAAACATCTACTGTGAATGAACAAATATGTGCCACAGCACATGTAAACTTTATGGAGGCTTCAGTGCGGTGCTTATTCAGAAACTTTAATAGGAGCACTTATTACATATTACAGTATTTAAGGGATAAATGATACCATGTATGTACATATGTCATATTAACATTTACCCCATCAGCCAAGAGATCTTGAGTTTGTTGACAGCATAAGCCAGCAGGAAAAAACAGCTTCTCCTCAGAAACAGCAGCATTGTAGCTATCAGAAACTTGAAAAAAAAAAGCATTTAAAACAATAAGAAACAGGAGAAACAAATCAAATCTAATCAAAACCAAACCTTCAAACTTTTTATACATTTAATAATACGTTGTTAGTTACCATGGAGACCATTGCTGATGGCATCATGACCAAATATACTTCTCCATAAAAACTGGTTGATGGTCCTACTGTCTTTGGGATCTACAGGTCCACACAAGTCCACTAGTTTCTTGACAGCATTCTCTCGCTGCAGGCAGAGTGCCAGCGATGGTCTTGAGGTCAGTAACTCCTTGTGGGACTCAACATATCTGTCATTCTAAATATCGATCAAGAAACATTATCAATTGATTGATATCAGGTCCTACCTGAACTTAATTAAATTCCATTCAAAATAATTTTGACCATTTGTAAACATACTGATATCAGGTCCTACCTGAACTTAATTAAATTCCATTCAAAATAATTTTGACCATTTGTAAACATAATGTAGATGAAAACAAATTAAATAAATAATAGAACTAATCAAAGTTATCAATAGGTAAGACTGCAAAAATGGACAACACAGAAACTCTTACGAGTCCATCAATTTTACCCCTCTTCATCAAAGTTAAACATTAAAAAAAAACATTAACATTCTATCTTGAAAAATTACCATCAAAAATTATATCATTAATCAGCTTAATAAGAAATTTTAATAACTATAATTTTTTAATTTGCATAATTTTAATAACTGTATATTGAGTAAATTATTGCCATAGCCTGTTCTAGCTGCCTGGCTTGAGTTACTCCTGTTTATATTGATTGAGGACTAAATGCCGTAGCACAGTTTATGCCTACCCCAGTGTTCATATCGGTTTATATTAATTGGGGACTAATGCCGTAGCAGAGTTTAAGCCTACCCAAGTGTTCATACCTGTTTATATAGATTGGGGACAAATGCTGTAGCACAGTTTAACAGTAGCACAGTCATCATACCTGTTTATATTGACTGGGGATTAATGCCGTAGCCTGGTCCATGCTCATTACTAGAAGCTTAAAGGCCACTACTTTAAAGCCCTCTCTCGCTATGTACTTCAAGATCTTGACAAGGTTACGCTTTACTGAGTCTGGCTTGATCACAGCTATTGTGGTTATTGGCCTAGGACCTGTTAAAACAAAGGAAAATAGAAGTGATCAAACTTTTGTAAAAGTGTCCAAAGTATAATTAATCAATAAATTGACCAAAAACTGGTTTATTGATCAATTAATCTAGAAATCAGTTGGTACTTAATATATCGAATAGTTCATGAAATTCCATTTTTCATATGTTGAATTTTCAAACAACCAATTAAAAATAATAGTGGGTTTAATACAGTCCATAGGAGATCATAATCAGAAAAATTAGCAAGAACTTGAACATCTGGCATCAACTTAAATTGAGTTAATCCACTTAACTGTTGGTTATATTTGTTAAATAACAACTGACAAGGAGAAGAGCTCTTTCACACTATAAAATGATGACATGTACCTGTGAAACGTCCATATTTACTGTAGATGTAAAATCATCATGCAAATATATGGACATAATATGATATCATCATGCTCATATACTGTATAGAAGTAATATGACATCATCATACCCATAAAGATGTAATATATCTCCATACCCATATATGGATGTAATATATCATCATACCCATATATGGACATAACATGACATCATGCCTATATATGGACATAACATGACATCATCATGCCTATATATGGACATAACATGACATCATCATGCCCTATATGGATGTATATGACATCATCATGTCCATATATGGATGTAATGACATCATCATGTCCATATATGGATGTAATATGACATCATCATGTCCATATATGAATGTAATATGACATCATCATATCCATATATAGATGTAATATGACATCATCATATCCATATATGGATGTAATGACATCATCATGTCCATATATGGATGTAATATGACATCATCATGTCCATATATGAATGTAATATGACATCATCATATCCATATATGGATGTAATATGACATCATCATGTCCATATATGGATGTAATATGACATCATCATGTCCATATTCTATGGCAATTCACACAAATTTGTGACACTAAATATGATAGTGTGGATAGAGCTGCATGCAATGGGTTAATACTGTACTTGCCTGCTGTCATTGATTTGAAAACAGACTCCTCAACAACGAGGGACTTCTGTTTTCCACCACGTCCTCTATTCTTCCCAATTGTTGTTGACACAAGATCATCAGCCCATGTAAAGCGAGCAGTAGAAATGGCTTCTAGGCTAGGGTTGCGAAGTGGTGGCTGATATTGCAGATTCATACGAACTGAGGGATCTGAAAATAATTCACGATCCGAGAAGAAGATGACAGTTTGGCGATAAGCCAATTCAGCGGTGGGCGATAACAACTTTTCTAGACTTTGCGAATTAGAGCTGGCGCTTTGCGCACTCAAATGAATACCAAGGAAAGTTTGTACACGTTGAAAGGCATTGATGCCTCGCATGATACATATCACAACTGGGTTTGCTGTCAGGAACTTGAGGCTGGAATGCCAGTGGCGATCTCCTACTTCAAATGGTGTGATTTCTTTGGCTTGAGCTGAGGTAAGTAATGGAAGCCATTTGAATCCAAGCAATTCGACACCCTATGGAATGGAACAAAAACATCAAGTTATTACCCTAGAGACTAAATATGTCTAATGCAGGGGTATTCATTAAAATGTGTCGGAGGGCCAAAGTAAAGTTTTGATTTAACACCGTGGGCCGTACCTAAACTTTCATGTTTCATGTGATAACAGAAAATGATGAGGCAGCATTCCCAGAATAACTTTAAAGATGACATTTTATTAGACACAAGTTTTCACTGGCAGTCAATGCCAGCTCCATCATGTTTCATGTATGCTTCCAAAAACATTCATGGACTGCTTTTATAACACATGCTAAGTTCTAATATTGCTTTTTACAGATGATCAGTGTCGGGCCAAAAACACAAGGGGTTTTATAGCCGTATATGGTTGGCGGCTGCACGCAGGGTTTTCAATATATTTTGCGGGCAGTAAAAATCACTGTTGGGCAGCATGTCGCCTTCAGGCCGCAATTTGCCCACCTGCAGTATAATGATTAATTAATGGTTTCTGTTTATAAATATATTAAACTTTAAAAAAAAAGTTTTCTTGACTTACTGTAGTGGAAAAGCCTAGCATCTTGTCCAAATAACCACCAATCAGCTTGATAGCCTCAACTCCAACAAATGTCACAGCCACTACTTGTTCCATTTCAGGGTTTGTGTAAAACGTTCCTTGATTAAGGAGACTAATGTGTCGCTCACTGTCCGGAACACGATAAATGTCACCCCCGAGGTTTGCCATTAGTGATTCGCTGTATGGAGCAATATGGAAGCATGCACTACAAGTCAGTTTAGTGCTGATATTTTTCTGGATTGCCACTAGCAAACCTGCATAAAAACAACAAATTGTTTTCATTAATAAAGTAATTATTATGCAGTAGAATCAAACATCAATTTATCAATTATAATGATGTTTATAATTGATTGTTGTAAAGATTTTTATGATTTTTTTAGAAATTAATGATTATTGTAAGTATATAATCTAGAGTGACATGTCTGGGGGCTGGGATGGAGATGGCCCAATTAATGAAATAAAGGAGTGATTGTAATGTGACAAATGAGAGCAAATTATGGAAAGTTGCATGGATTTATTTGGTGTAAACACCAAGGATAGCCCACATACTGTAAGTCTGGAAGAAGACTTTAATTCCAGTGGGGTCCTTCTGGTGGTGATTGTGCAGTACACCGGGAAACAATCCCCTGCTCTCTTTCAAAGAGTGTACTGCATTCTTTAACATGCACATGGGCCGTAATGCACACATAACCAACAGATTTATTGCCCTATCCAAATTGAACCAGGGACCTAGAAATCTCCACGGTTCAGTGGTTACACCAGATTAGCCAACTGAGCTGAACTGCTCTCCCCTTAACCAAAAATACAATAAATCTTGCCTTGCAACGCCAACTGAACCATTAGGTATTTAACCAAAGAATACCCCTGACTAAAGGCATTCTCCCTCCGCAACAGAATCACAAGTGATGGCATAGGGGAGGGTGTAGCTGTTGAAAACCCATGCTCTAGCTGTTCACGAAGTAGTTGATCATAGTTCTGTGGTGAGGTTGGTGTGGTGCAAGACACAGGGCTAAAAACTCTAGCTTGATGTCCGGTCATTCCTAAAAAAAAACACAAAATATTTTTTGACAAAACAGACACTCAAAACCTCTATAACAAGACACAAAAGTACCGTATGGTATAAGTATTCTATTCAAGCAAGTACAACATACTATTTTATCAAATCAAATCAAATCAAATCCATATTATTGCAATCTGTCAAGATAAAATATAATCTTCACCAAATTGAAGTTTAACAATATTAAAACATCAATTATTATTAAAACATCAATTATTATTTTATGTTATACTTGCAGCCATTAACATGATGGGTACCTTAGTTATTGTTAATAAACATATTAAAAACGAATGAAATTGCATGGTTGCGGGGCCGCTTGTGCTTGGCGCCAGGAGTCGACTGTTCTATTATTTTTCGAGGGGTGTTTCTCATGTGAGAAAGAATAGGCAATTAGTCGGTTTACCTAGTTAAGTATTCAGGAAGTAGACTTGAAATTTTGTGTACATATTATGTTGCCCTTAATATTAAGATCGAACCATACTACAGAGGCACATAAATGTTAACAAACCCAGTACAGATGTTCTTTTAGAATTAAGTCTGAGTCTTCTTAAACCTCTTAGTTGAAAACCTCTTTTACAGCATGTTGACAAGATGGTACCAATGCACATGGGAGAAATTATTGGAGAGACCAAAAGGAAGATATCCGATGATGTAGATGCAGTGAGCAGTGCTGGTGGAACGGAACTGCAAAGAAAAATACATGTTACTGTACTTGTATAACCACAACTGGCAATAAAAATTTGGAAATGAACTTACATGAATAAAAATTGTGAATGAGAAAACGTAACACAGACAAGCCAAACAAAAATAGTTAATATACAGTATAACTTAATGGGTGAGGGGTAGAATCCAAAACTAGCATGAGGATGACAGATATACAAAGTATACAAGAGTTCTATAATTGAGAGAGCATAAAAACTCAGTTACCTTAGTGCTGTCGCCTCATCTTCATTGCCATCTCCAACCTCATCATTGCAATTATTATTTCTAGCTGGTTTCTTCTTATTGCTCCCTCCTTTGTGTCTCTGTGATTTGGAAATGCTTGGACCTACATCAACAACACCATTATTTGGTACTCTCCCGCCAAACCACAGTGCTAACTCGTAGTTAACACGGTCTTGATTACGAGGACAATATATTCCAACCTCAGATCTGTCGTCTCCACCAAAGAGGGCAACCAATGATGTTGGATCTGTCCGGCGGGCAATCTGTGGGTCTGAGGGTCCTACAATGTTCAACCAATTCCTTCGCGCATTAGCACCTCGCAAAGCAAACACTAGAATCGGACCAACATTATTAAGATCTTCGATGACAACTTGATCCAACTCAGAGTGTGGGGAATCCACTAGCATCTGTTTACGGCCATATTTGGCAGCTGGGACTTCCAAGCACATGTCTTCCGGCGCATAGACCAAACGAAGCCCACAAATATCAAAGCCTTCGTGGAGGATTCGATTTAAGATGCTAAGCATGCAAACTTGGTCATGATATATTGACTGGCTTATTAACGACATAGTGTTCTGTATGCCGTTATCATTATCATATTGCTCGCTGGATGAAGTGTCACAAGCAAGATATTCTGACTCCAATATCTGCCAAAAGAAGCCGACAGGAGCTTTAAAGACACGCTCGATAGTCTCTGCATTACTCTGTACACTGATGAATGTGCTAAGAGCTCTGTTATTGATGTACGGAAGTTCTGGAATGTAAGTTCCTTCAGTAAAGTGTCTGTCTTGGGAATGGGCAGATAGTATGTAAGGCATACCATCACTGCTTATTATTAGTGAAAAGGCTCCTTCTGAATTTGGACAAACACTATGCAAAGTGTTCACATTTAAGAACTCAGTTATAGCTTGTTCAAAATTAGAGCAATTCTGCTTTGACTCCTTCTTTTTGCGCTTGTGTTTTGTTACCAACGGAGTCTTTTTTCCACTTGGTCTGACAGCAACCATGAGCATCAATTCACCATCAAGTAAATGCTGCTGAAGTCCAACAACAAAGAATGGCAAATATTTCTCACTTTCAGCAGTTTCTGGAGACATAAGGAAGTCAAAATTACGTGGGACACATGACAGAAGCCAGGTTAGCAAAGTAATGTAAGTAGCAGAGAGTTCTTGTTGGCTGGAATCAAGGATCCTACCACCTGCACTACTGTTGGTCTTTATCTGCAAACAGCTTGTTAAGCACACGCTCAGCAGAAGTGTCTCACCATTATACTTTGCAACTGGTGGTAAGCAGTCTGGTACTTTTGTATATGATGCTTCCTGTAAAATCAAATAATGTACAGAGCCATGAGTAAGAGTATTTAATGGACAGTGCATATGATTCGACACACTTGACATTACTGTATAAAGAACATACAAAAACTAAAATAACTTTAGGTTTTCCATTGATATTGTGTAAGTTTTTATATTTTATATTTTCATCCTGTAATTGGTGTATACACTGTTGGATGTGCAATAAATAAATAAAAGTTATGTGGTGTTTGTGACAGCAATTCTACAGATGAGTATGTAAATCAAGCCGAGTGCATCAATTAGCTGAACAATTTAAACTGTTTGTTTAAATTAAGGAGATGGTGACGTCTGTATATTGTTGAACTTCAATATATTGTATTTGTATTGCAATACAAGTAATTGAGTATTGAGTATCTATAAATTTATCAACCAGTCAATCACTTTGTTTGAAATGCATACATACCACATCAAACAAAATATCAGTAGCTGGGCAGCTCTTGCTTTTTCCACCAATTGAAAGCTTTGGTTTCAATGCATCAAGGTGTTTTTGAAGTCTGTGTTTTGCGGCTTTTTCTTCCTCATGTTGCTTGCGTAATTTTTTTGAATCTGCTTCTTTCTGTTTCTTGACCTTGTCTGTTAAATGACCTTCTGGACATCTCTTCACAACTTTAACACTTGCTTCATCAGAACCTAATTTAACATCAGTTTCTCTTGACTTAAGACCCAATGATTCTGACTCTTTAGCCTGCTGAAATAAAAATGGTTGCTGATATCATAATTTGTACAGAGGAAATTATTTCCATACATACTCCCCAGTATGGTAAAAAATGTGATATTGTTATGGTATTTTTTACTTTAAAACTTCAAATAATTTAAAAGGGAAGCCATTCAAGGTACAATAAATTGAATTTCTAGTAGTTCTGACTAATGATGACTCTGTAGACTGTTACAAAAAGGTAAATCATTTGACATTAACTTAAGGATTCAAAATCTTTACAAACCAATTGTTGTGGACTTTCAGAGACTTCTTTCTTGGGTGGAAGATGCAAAACTCTAGGGGGTGCCGGCACTTTACTGGTCCTGTAAATGGTTAAAATATAATTGTTACCTTTCATTATTATGTTTAATCATTATGTTTATTATAATGAATACTATATAAATGAATTATTATACTGTGTGAAGGGTTGTGAATAAATGAACAATAACAAATATTATCAATACCAGTGTTCATTATACACACTTGGGAGCCTAGTGTAGGTCAAGATACAGTGTAGTGGTATACAAATAATGTTTATGAGTGCAATAGGAAGTATATTTCATAAGTTGAATGGAACAGTCTTTCAACGAATGAAAATATTCTTTCCATTGCACGACTACAACATTATTTGTTTTACAACACACCTAAATAGATCGGTTCGGCCTAGGCCTAGCTAGTCTGGCTTTGGCCTAGGCGAGCCTAATCTTCCGCGCAAAACCTACCTAGGGCTAGGCTAGAAATCGGTGTAGCAGGTATATCGGTATCATCCACGCAATTAAGATAACTTACAGCTGTTTACAGTACACAAAATTTCAGATTCATTGCACACAGCTAAGACTTCTTGCTAAGTTCAGCAAGAAGTAGGCTTATAAGTAGAGGTTATAGGTGACGTGACATCGATTCATGGATTTAACCTTCCGGAAAAAGGCAGTCTTGCGTCTTTTTAACCAAGATTGCATTAGGTTGAAGTAATTCCGTATCCATAGGAAATGGACAGAAAAAAAATGCACGATGGAACGAAATCGATGAGCGATAAAATGGGCAAAATAACTAATGTCACTTGGGACGAATTCAACCAATCAAATGAAAGGAAGTGTGTTATAAAATGTAATACAGTAACTGCTTGTTTACTTGAGTGTCATTTTATCTTACCGGGATATCTTGCGAGGTGAGGGTAAATCGTTACATGACTTGAGTGATTGGCCTTCACTGATAGCAGTCCTTATCTGCTTGCGCTGTTTTTGCCAATCTATACCATCCTCATCGTCATTGTCATCAGATTCCTCACAGCCACCTCTAAAAAATAGATTTGCTTACAAATCAGAAACATGTGTGATGGCTGTCGGCCAACGTAATCCCAAAAAGAATACAACATGGTGAGACATGCCCAACGGATCATTAATAATGATGATCTGCTGAGCCTGCAATCAGCACTCAGCAGATGACGTTGCGCCATCTCACAGAGAGCAAAGATGGATTTGCCAGCCGACGGTTGTAGGATTGTTGTACAACGCAGTCGTAAAAACATTTCACAACAATGAAAGAAGAAAACAAAAATGATAAGTAAATGAAGATGTAAAACAAAGAAGATAAGCATTTCATAAGTGAAGAGCAAAAAAGAGACATAAATAACTTTTAAAAAACTTACACAGCTTCATGCAATCTCAGAATTCTTTGAATAGCTACCAATCCTGCAGGCTTTATAGAAGAAAAAACATATATTAAGTGAACTATTACATAGCCATTTCTTTTTTATTATGGGCATATATACAGCAGTACCGTTCCTGTCAGTTATGTGCACAGAGTATAATGGTTTACTTACTTCATCCACTTTGGTCTCCTTTGCTACATTTATTTCATCTTTTTCTCTTAAATCAAGAAAAATCGTTCCTCTGTTTGCTTCCTTGTCATTATTTGAACCTGTGGATACACCTCTGCTGCAAGTAACTGCAAGTGTTTCAGTTGACACACCTTTTGAGACACCTGTTGACAAACCTATTGAGACACCTGTTGACACACTCTTCGAGACACCTGTTGAAGCACCTGTTGAAGCACCTGTTGACACACCTGTAGACACATCACTCGACATAAGCTTTTGCTGATTATTACTGTAACAAAATTAAATAAAAAGATAAACAAAACAAGTAAACTATAAAGTCCTACACACTAAAAAATGAAGATCTGCTGTCCCTGGCAAATAATCGATGTACTGGAAATACTATTTGCAGAAACGCTATGCTGTTAGGCGAAAGTGGATTGATGATGATATTGATGATGATGATGATGATATCGATGATGACGATACTGATGATAATGATGACTATATAGATGACAATATCGACAATGATACAAATGATGATAATGGTGATGATAATGATGGTGATAATCACTAAAACAATAACTATGAAAAGAATGAATATTTACTGTTAGCAGGTAAACACTACAGTATAATGTAAAACAGAGTGACAACTGGAGTGTGTTGATGTCTGACTCACCCAATGTTCGATCCTGTTGACCTCTTTGCTACTGTCTTGTGGCCATTATGAGCATCCCTGTTTGAAACTTTGTCTTTTGACAATGTTGCAGCTTTCACTTGAGATGCTTGCTGTAAACATAACTTGGCTAACTTATTCATCAACGACGATGCACTTTCAGATGCTACCACATTCAAAAATAAAAACAAATTTAGAGCCCTATGCAGACTATCACATTTTATTTGACAAAAACATGTGACATGCCTAAATATGGTCATGATGACATCACATCATGACCATATATAGGCATATCGTGACTATATAGGGGCATATATTATTTTTTTGTCAAAGAAAATTTGATATTCTGGACAGGGCTTTTAGTGAGTTACAGATTTCATTTCATTTATTTTGTCTCAATAATAATTAACACACACACACAAAATACAGGTTTCATATATAGGCAAGACAGAATTACCAAAAGCATACTGAAATATTGTCCAGTGGCTCTCAAAACTGATTGAGAAACAAACATAAAAGAAATATTAAAATTGGACTGAATTGCATTTATTTGGTGTAAACACCAAGGATAGCCCACGAAAGTTTAGAAGAAGACTTATTTCCAGTGGGGTCTCTCTGGTGGTGATTGGGCAGTACACCGGGAGACAATCCCCTAATCTTTTCCGAAGAGTGTACTGCATCCTTTAACGTGCACATGGGCCATAAATGCACACGGGACCAACGGCTTGAACGTCTCATCCGAAAGAGGGTGCGCTATTTGTCTTTCAGCCTTCCAGCTGAAACACAAGGAGAGGCAGCGATGGGAATTGAACCGAAGACCCAGAAATCCCCACGGTTCAGCGCACACACAATGGCTACCACCCGATTAGCCGACTGAGCTAAGCTGCTTTAAGAAAATTCTTACAATTTACTCTTAAATATATTAATTTATATCAAACACATATTAATGAAAAAATATAAATAAAATCAATACAAACACTGTAGATACTTCTTCATGCATTTCCATTTCTGCATAAATCTGTGATTTTGCTTTAAAGATATGGCAACTTGTTATGATTAGACTCTTACAAGGAAAAGTACATTGAATTAAATTGAATATTTAACAACATAAATGAAGCATTGAATCTAAACCTGTATTAATTGATAAAATACTAACAAACTATAATAAAATATTTTAAAAATTTGAACTTAATTAATAATAATGCATTTTGATATTGACTTACAGCTTTCATTTTTTATATCAAAAAATCCAGGTTGAACATCAAGCTGAGTGTTGTCTTTACTAGAGTCCAATGGGAGGCTGTTTAGAAGATGATCTAACTGTTGTTCTTCCACCTTCTGGAAGTCTAGCACAGGTGCCTGACTGGTGATGAACCTGGAGACAATCCTGTTATCCTCTTCAGATGAAAGGTTCTTCAACATCCCTCCTGTATTCATTCTCCTTCTTTCAAAACTGTTGTTGTTTTTATTTCTTTCAATAATAACAGGGCAGTTCTCAACAGAATGTCCACTGGACTCTTTGTGATCTTTGAATTCATCACAGGTGGAACTCTCTGTCCAAGTCAAGGTTACATCTGACAATGTTCTGGTACTGTTTGAAGTCTTGTGCCCCAATTGGACATCAGCACAATTATCACCATCTGCTGATATCTGCCACCCATTGGAGCATACTTCAAAATTGCCCATAACATCGCAACCTTCGACATCCACAGTTTGTGAGACAGAATTAGTTTTGCAGTTCTTTTCATTGCTATCAATAACTAATGCTGACTGCCAACTCTTTGGTGAAAGTACATCCTCACGACTGGACGCTGTTGTTGGACTTTTTAAAGATCGATTGAAGATGCTTAACTCCTCATCTGAACTCACCTGCAATGACATACAGTAGGTTTAAAGTCCTATCCACACATTACCCATTTTCAAAAACCTCCTTATAACATATCTCTTCACAAGATAAATTTCCATGCATTCTCTCTTGGGGGCCCTTGTCTTGGCCACCATCCCTAAGCACCTAATTGCCTCTGGCACAGCAAATGTGTGTCCCGTCCCTTTACTGGAGTGACCTAGGTAGGAGTTTGGGATTGTGCTATTGTGGCAGTAGATGGTGAACCCTCAGAGATTCTGTCTTTTTATCCTGCTGTGCCATTTTTATTATTTATTTTTTATGATGTGAAGTGCATAGAAGCATTTTAGTACATTATGTGCTATACAATGTGACATTATTATCAAATTTTATTTCACAAAAACATGTGACATGCCTAAATATGGTAATGACATTATATTATGCCCATATATAGCATATGTGTATTTGGCAACAACAGTTTTTACCAAATAAAATTTGATAGTCTGGACAGGGCTTTAGGATTGGATTTCTAGTGATGTGCATGAAACACTTTACTTCTTTTTCAGACCAATATCATCTCTATTATTTCCTCATATTATTTTTTTTTGTTTTATTCAAGATTTTGATGTAATACACAACAAAATTAAACTTACATCAGAAAAGTCAAAGTCTAGTGAAGGCAACTTTTCTTGTACTTCTGAAAATATGTTAGTCAGTTTCATCTGAAGATCGGATGCTTTACCATCCTGCTTCGCCCCGTCCTGCTTTGCCATCATTGACAGAATGTAAAGTCACAAGCGGGTGCTATCACCTAGTACTACTTCTTTCTACTTTGAATTACAGCTTTGCTACATTTCCTTTAGTTCCCAATGTTAGATCCATCCTGCTACTGGTGATGAAATAGTAATCAATCAAAAGTATATATTCATTAAGCTCTGTCCAGACTAAACATACATAACATTATTTATGCTATTTCATGAAGATCAGAGAGTGCTCAAAGCATAGACAACAATATAGGTCATACAGTAGATTGCTTCTCTCCTAAGGGTCTCTTCGTGTCTGAGCTGGCCGGGAAACCAGTACCAGCTACTCTCATTTGTCCACAACAATCTACCAAATATTCTTTGACAAAAAAATGTTGTATGCCCATATATAGTCATGATGTCATCATGACCATATTCAGGCATGTCACATATCAAATAAAATTTGATAGCCCGTACAGGACTTTAGACATGAAAAAAATGTGTTGATCAATTGTGGCAAAGACAAGCCAAACCAGTCACTCGTCGCAAATCGTGTTTCAGAGAAAATGGCCAAAACATGCTGGAATGTCAAATTTTAAAAAATCTATTTTATTGCACTAAACTAACCTTTATATATCTACACGTCATTCTATGCTGTTATTTTCCCCATTTTCAATGTTAAAACAACACTTTTTAAGGATTTAAAGATAGTTTCTGCATGAGAAATGCCTAAAATCATAAACTTTAAAGACTGATTTCTCATATATTGTTCTTTAAACAGCTGTGTGGTTAAACGCTTGTAACTTCATAAGGAAATGTCCGATTTGAATGATTTTTTTTACCATTTTATAGCTGTTATTTTACTCTCTAACACTGTAT